GATGAAAAAGATGATGTTTGGGTAATCCTTTGTTACAGGAAATGAGGCTGGTGAAAGACAAAAGCTTGGAGACACTTAATTATAACTAAGGTGGACATTGTCCGGGTATTTTTTCAACATTTTGCAGGAACAATGGGTGACTTTATGCAACCAAAACACACAATGACAATGCGATCCATTTAAAACCCACGGGTTGTTCTAGTTTTGGACAGACTCTTTGTCTTTAAAGCATCATTTTTGTTTTGCTTTGAGCAGTAAAAGTGTTGTTGTCAACTTGTGGTCCGAGCATCCTGGACGACGGTTGTTTTTGCGGTTGTGGTTGGTCAGATCCGACTGCATCTGACTGTGCAGGCGAAGGGGAAAGATGACGAATCAATGTATGATTTAATGACGAGCAACCAAACTAAAGGGAACTGAGTCTCTGATGTAAAACTGTGAACAAGGAGGTCAGTGTTCTCATTTGTTTTTCCACAGTCTACTTCTAGTTCTCTTCTTCCTAATGTTGAATATATATTAAGAATTGTGTCATTCTAGAAACACTTTGTTTTATTTTATCAGCAGGCCTGAACCTATTACACATAACTCAATGTGTAGCCAAACTTGATGTTTCAACCTCAAGATATTTTATCCATGTGTTAGGATTTGTGCATCTGGGGCCTGTTAGTGTGACAGTTATTTGAGAATGTGTGAAAGACGTTTGTCCTGACTGTCTCATATCCATGTGGCCATTTGTCATGTAAACAGACAGTTAGGGAATGTGGAGCGATGTCACATCCCAGGTGTCTGTGGTATTTAATGATGATGTTTGTTTTTTTATTTAATTTGAAGTCAAAACCTATTTGGTTCTTTTTGTCCATAGTATAGTTCCCAATATGACTTTTGTAAAGCAAACTGTATCAAATCCAGCTTAAAATTACTTTCTCTTTGTGCTAACAAAAACAGCTCGAGTGAGATGACATGAGTGTGACAATATACCTTACAAAGCCACATCGCACGTAAACATGGTTTTGGTAATTTGTAGGTTAAAAGACACCTAGGCGTCTAAGTTCAAACTGGGCTAAATTTAGATGAAAAGTGAGCTTTATAGATGTTTCGAGTTACATATAACCATCACTTTAACAGGATTTAAATGATTAATTTCAACGTGTAATTAGGACCTGCCTCACATTGAAATATAGTCATGAAAATCATAAATGCTGTTTAAAAAAGAGTTATAAGTAACCTAGACAGTTACTTTTCAACACAGTGTAAACCTTAACTCCTGGATGTCTATTCTCTCTCTACCTGTAGGTATGTTGTGACTGACAGTAAACTATAACTAAGGCTTGTTTTTAAACCTCAATACTTTTTTATCACTGACCAAAAAGTTTCTAATTGAATTAATAATTCAAGATTCAATAAGACTTTGTAAAGTATGGTAACAAAAATATTGTTTTTACATCACTACAGAAACTCAAGTTGTATCAATACTAGCTAGATATTAGCTTATTGCAGATATATCAGTATCAGATGTTTTTCAAAACAGGTTTAAGTTAATTTAGAATTTTTTGGCTTTTGTATCTTGGTCACAATTCTTTTAAAATTAAATCAGAGGGATCCTTATCCAGATTGTTTGTTTATGTTTGTTTAAGCATAATAGCCACATATATTAACTCAGACCAAACAAGCCAGTCAAAATATAATCTGTGGAAGTTGGTTCTGTACAATAAATCAAAAGCAAACTGCTTCTTAAAGGGAAGAGACCGAGCGCTGGTATCTTCACTTATGCTGATGACATACATGTATATAGAGAGATCACAAGGAGCAATGTTGAAGAGACAGGAAACAGATGATCGGCACAAATGAAAAAAAACACCAATATTATCCCAAAGCCTCACTCAGCAGTCCAGTCCAGCATCTGTCTTCCTATTTGTCCTGCTCATCCAGGAAGTGACCCACTGGGAAATGAACAGCAAGCAGGTCACAACCCCTGATAGCGCCTTCGACAGCCCACTGATGTGTCGACCCTCTGGGGTCGAAAAGACTACAGCTGCTCCATATGATGTCTGTTCTCTCTCTGCGCTCATAGAGGAGCTGGAGGAGCTGTGAAACTGAAATCTCTCCTTTGTTGTTGTGTTGTCGGCCATGTGTTTTGTGTTATGCCAGGTGTCCTCCATATTTGACAGCCAACGCAAAATTCTCCACTTATCTGCTGAGCATCTGAAGCTCATCAGTCAAGTGTTCACTGAAATGGAAAAGCCTTTTGCCTGTGTAATAGTTTATACCTTTACAAAGTGTTTTGGTATCATTTCAGTGCAGCAGATTTGTAAACACTGTCGGTGTGTTTGGATTGGAACAGCAAATTTGGGCAGCAGCGCTTTGATTACTGTGAACTGATGAACTGATATGTTTGTTTCATTGTGGAAGCATGCCTGAGCTGACACTTCAAACATGTCAGCAGTTATGAATGATTCAGAAATGCAATCATTTATTGTGGCTGTATTCCCAGAGTGCACTTCTCTGCTTACAGTTAAACTGGTGGCGAGGGAAGACTTTGGTAACTCCTGATGTTTCATACACAGCTGTGTTTTTGAGCCACTTTGTGCTTAGTAACTCACTCCACACCCAGAGCTGGAGCTGTGCTTTTAAAAGACAAATGTCTTTCAGGCATATACACTTGTTAATACATTTTAAGGAGCCCCTTGAGGCTGGACATGAGCATCAGCCAGGTTTTGAGGCTCTAAAAAGCTGACGTCATTTTCAGGTGTGTGTACAATATGTAAGCAGAAAACAACACTCCACACTCTTTCTTGATTCTTGTCCTACTTCTTAGCTCTTTCCACCACTGTTAAAGCTTTTTTCCCCCACATAAGGACCTGCTTTCTTTCAAGATGTGAAGATTTTGGCAAGAAATCGACAAACGTCACGAATAGTTGATTTCGTTTATGTAAAGATGTCGTGCTTTAAAACAATTCGATGAAATGTATGGACTTCCACATTATCATTCTTGGGAACACATGTTCAAGATAAGATGTATTTACAGATTTCTCAGTGCAGCTATAACCTGAGTTATTTAGCGTCTTTTACAGTAACTAATTTCTTGGTTTATACAACCTGCAACTGTACTGTTTTGATTCAGTCTAATGGCTCTCATAAGTGTCTTTTGACACAGTATGTTACCTGCTATCAAACAGCAAAGGTGATTTTGAATTGGCATTTTTGAAAGAGATACTAATATTGATAATTAGGAGTCTTAGCAATATATTGGCCAAGTCATATTTTTTACCATAAACACCCAACATAAAACAGTTTCAATACTGATTCCAATTTAAACAGAAATGACGACACAAACATGTGAGACAAGTGTTCCTGTACAATTTCCTGAAGAGCAACGTTTATGTGTGATCTGTGATCTTGGTGTTATTGAGGACGGAAAATAATTTTCTGTTTCACTGCCCCGTGTACAGTGACTTCAGGAACAAACTGTTGAATGAACCCTGATTTGTTTTGGTTGTCTGAAGGTAAATTTTGTCAAGTTGGCTCTTTAAGAAGGATTTTTGTTCCAGCAAGACTTACAGAACATGCATGGCAATGAAGACAAACAGCACTGTATCCTACACAATTAGACATTTTGGTCATTCAAATTGAATCCTATGAAATGTTTTCTTTTTTTTAAAGTGTGGAACTGTATATTATGATTAATCTATGTGCTGGGCACCAAAATCAAATCTTGTTACTTATCACCTGACATATATAATGTGTCTACAATTAGCTAATATGGGACTTCGATCAGTTCTACATTGTCCTTTTTGGAGAGCAGCCTCAGGCAGATGAAGTAAAGTAGGCCTGTATTTTGGCCCGTGAGGCGGTTGTTGATATTGGCAAAGAATCAAAACCATGGAAGTATTCCATTTAAAATCCCTTTTAAGTCTGTTTTTTGCAGCACCTGCCCATGCTCTTTACGGTAAATCTCATGTTCTCTCAGGTTGGCCGGGCACTGAGGAGACCTCCTTTCCAGCTGGACTTGGTGTTTAACTGAGGTCTAACACCCGTTGGTCATTAACAATCCCTTCGCACCCATAAGAACGAGTCAAGTTGTTAACTTTGGCATCTAAACTCCCACTGAGACGCCTTAGTCAATCAGCGCTGCATTTTTAATTCATCGAATGTGTTACCTCATCTATTAAAAATGTTATTTGAACTAGATGTGTGGTGAAGTCTCTGCCACTAAATGGTCCCTGCTCTTTACAGGTTGATAAATAATGGTCATGTGATTGACTGGCTTTCCAATGGTGATAGACATGTATTGCGGTCTTTGTGTTGCCATACGAGCTATTTCTTTCTGGTTTTTTGAGTGAGTTTCATTCCAGGTGCATGAAGCCCAGAACCCCCCAACACACACACACACTCACACACTCACACACACACTGCAACCCCAACCTTTCCACACAGACACACACTTCCTGAATTGAAAATGAAACGCAGCTGTGTTCCCGTCAGTGCTGTGGATCTCGCCACTCATCTGTCATGAAAGATATCCTCCTGAAGGAAATATTCCTCAAGTGTCCCTACTTGCTTTTTAGTTTTTACTCCAAAGTCAACTGACACTGCAAGAGGAGAACTAAAAGGTGCAGATTCACCATTTAATGTTGCACATTACGCATGATTTTACTCTCAGTGCTTCTTGTGTGAAACTCACGAAGACTGTTTGTGCTTCGATAGGGACATCGACCGAAAAAGAGGAAGTTTGCTGAGTGAAGGAAAATAAGCATGTCGCTGAGTGTAAACAAGTCAGTGGGGGGGATTGTTTTTGTGTCCCCTGCCCCTTCACCACCCGGGCCCTAAGGGAACTGCTGGACTCTTTAATGTAGACTCCAGGGCTGTTTGTCCAGATGTGGGACTCCTGGACATGGAGAGTCCCTAGCTAACACCTCCTTTTAGACCCTTTTGCTCCAGGAAAATGTAGAATAAGCAGCAAAATGTATTGAATCAATATGTTATTCTTTATTCTTTTTACACAGGGATCCAGGAGGGCACCCAGTGCACTAAGTGTAAGAATGAATGGGCGCTGAAGACCTCCATAGTTCTCCTCTATGTGCTGTGTACTCTCCTCACCATCGCTGTAGCTGTGCTTGGATATAAAGGTAAGCCGGCCCATTAAACTACACTCTTCCGTCACTGTGATCTGATGGGTACAATTATAGGGGCCCAGGATAACAAACATTTCTAAACATCACTTCAATGATGCAATTTGTTTTTTAAAATGTTCAAATGATTTGCTTACACTGTGCTGAGAGAGCGGACGTCCAAACATATAATTTGGTTTCTCTTCGTGCTGCCAAGAAATAGGAGCATTGCTGTGTATGAGTACACTGAGACCTGGTATGTGCTTGACAGAAGGAGTTCTTCGTCACCAGAGTGGACTTCTGCGCGTGACAGGCATGACATGAATGATCTTTGGCAATTAACTAGTTAAAGGCAATAGATTGGTAATGGAAAATATGAAGAGAGGACCACCACACCTATAAGAAAAAGTCAGCAGTTGTTCTCTCAGAAATCATTACTGGGAATACTGGAAGCAGCATTTGATTCATTTGACAGAACCAGGCTAGATGTTTCCCCCTGTTTCCAGTCTTTATGCTAAGCTATGTTAACTGGCTGCTGGCTGTAGCTTCATATTTAGTGTACAGGCAAGAGAGTGGTATTGGTAATCAATAATGCAACTCTCAGCAAGAAGTCAACTGATTTTATAGGGACTATTTATTCGGTAAATAGATCCAATCAAAACTTTTCACAGTAACGTGCAGTAAAGAGCCTTCCAGTGTAAGCTTCCACAAATTAGATTTTATTCATTGTATTGAAGTGGAGGCAGAAAATACAGTTTCTTTATCATCTGGCTGAACAGCCCCTTTAAATTTCAACCCTGTCCCCAAATTTGTGCTTTAGCCCCCCCACAGTGTTCTCCCAGTTTATTTTACCAACACCCACAAAGCTCACACCTCCTGGGAGGGTCTTCAGCCTTTGTGGAGCTGAACTTCCTGGTTGGCTTTTTCACATTTTTTCCAGGTCGGGAAGCGGTCCCGCCGTCTTTCAGAGAATTGAACTCTGAATGTTCCTGCCATAATTGTGCTAAACACTCCCATATGCGACTGCGTATCCCCCTCTTTATTTTCAGTTTGTGAAAATGGCATTAAGTTAACATGTTCAGGGGTTATCTGTGTGTCTCGAGTACATTAACAATGATGTCCTCTTACTCTCTGAGCTCAGTCGGTCCTACTTGTTCCGTGGTGCATGTTTTCATGCGGGCCTAATTGATCCCAGATGAGCAGTGAGTGAACTCAGTGCAACTCCAGCAGAACCCACTGAAATTGGGTTTTTACTGGCACTGAAGCACTGCTCTGTCAAGGGAACCACAGCTCAGCCTAAACACACTCCTAGCTCCAGATGGTTATGTAGTGAAACCCTGAGTGCTCTATGCACTTAACATGTGTGCTTCTCTCTGTCTTCCATCAATGACCCACAGAAACGTCCTATATGTGGCTCTTTTGTTGTGATGCCGTTTAACCTTAGAAGTTTGGCAGGGATTCAGTGAACTCCTGTCTTCTCCCTTACAGTCTGTTGTCTTGATTGACACGACCAAAAGCAATATGAGGACATTCTCTGGACTCTGGAGGATTTAATTCCCATTATTTTCCTCACAGACCATAAGAAAAGTGAATGGAAGAGGACATAACCTGCACATTTTACCTTACTCCCTGTGTGAATGTCTTTTTATTGTCAAAGACCAACTGGTTTAAATGTGCACAAAAGTGACACCAAAGCAAAACATTGTGCACAGTTCAGCAGAGTTAAAAGAGTAGAGTGACTAAAATATTTCAGTTAAATATTGTGTCTATTGAATTCAGTTTCAAACCATAGACAGCGAATAAGTATTAATTGTTGTTGTCCAAGTGAGCTGTGAAACCTAAAGAAGAAAAAACATAGTCTGTCATTATGTAGTTAGCATTTTGCATTTGCTTTAGCATTAATTAAATACCAAACTAATGTGTGGAAGAGATAGCAGTTGATTTCCAGTCCTGAATAATGCCTGCAGGCTAACCTTTCAGGCTGCAGGTATATCCACCACTGTCTTTGTAGCCTGTGAGGCAAAACCCAGGGCAAGTCCACTTTTCACCCACTGCTGCTGCTTTTAATACTGTAATTGCTGTAACAGTTAATAATGTGATCAAGGAGACATAGCACAACAAGTAAATAAAACATGATTTTAGTCATAAAGCAAATTGTATTTTAAGCCCTTTATGTGTAGATGTGTTTCCACTTAGATTGTACATTTACGCTCAATTGTTTATCCTATCTGACTTCAGTTGTACTTCCAGTTTTACAGTGAGTTTTGAGATTCATGCTCTGTAGATCCTAGAAAATTATAAAATAACCAAAGCATGGAGTTTACACTCCACTCACTTCATAACTAGTTTTACTACTTCTGACTTTATATTTATAAGGAAGTTGGATTTTACAAGAGAACCTGGACAGTTTTAAGAACCACCCACACAAGAGCTGGAATAAGTTCAAACTGGGTACAAAACAGCTCATTTTTACAACATTTGGACCTTGAAGGTTTCCAGAATAATGCTCTCCACTGCAGCCCTGTTGCAACCTTTTTGTATGTGTATTTTATGGTTAATTCTGCCACAGTGTGATGCAGTGAGTCTCTGTCGGGGCCAGTAGATGGACACAGCATGTGGAAAAGGCCCAGAAATGTCTGTATGTAGGAGTGCTGCGGTGTTAG